TTGTTTTCCAAACATTTGGGGGAACAGGTCAACATGTTTTGAGATTTTGGTGACCTAGACCTTTTATAGGCATTACTACTGATCCATCACAACCACCTCATAAGGTAGGTATTATACAGCAGGCCCTGGGAATACAATATGTATGGCTCCCACCTTCTAAGGGGCATGGCATGACGGACCAGATGTTCATATAATGTGATGTGAGGTGTGACAGAGGGGAGGTGTCGTGTTCCATGGGGGACATGTTAGGGGGACATCATATTCAGGATCCCAGAGCAATACTTCCCCTCAGGAATCCTTTCAGAAATGAAGACTCTGTCTCTAAGCACAGATTTAACTGGAAAACCCAACCAGTAACATACAAGACAGCACTAAATGAATACGTTCCGATTAAACAGATATTTTTCACAACTCTTCACACATTACTAATATATGTTTTCAGATTTTAATTTTAAATAGAAATGTCTGTAAAGCTGTCATGGTAAAGGAAATAAGCAGCCAAATTTACTACTAAGGAGCAAAATAATTCACAGAAATCATTCTTCCTAAAAGTGTGCCTCAATATCAAGGCATATCTAATCTCTTAGGCTTTTATTAAAGAAAACTCTAAAAGATCAGGCAAAAATTGCAATTTTACTTAAAAAAATGATCAGGGTTTAATGCAAGTTCCTATTGATTCTTCTTCACTAAACATAATTCAGAAGATAATTTTAATAGGGATGTTATTTAGGGTTTGGATCGAGGAAAAAAAAAATCTTAAGAGGAAAACCTGCATACAAATATTTATAGCAGCTCTATTCATAACTGCCCAAACTTGGAAGTGACCAAGACGGTCTTCAATAGGTGAATGGATAAACAAACTGGGGTACATCCACACAATGGAATATTCAGTGATAAAAAGAAATGAGCTATTAAGCCACAAAGACATGGAGAAACCTTAAATGCATATTGCTAAGTGAAAGAAGCCAGTCTGAAAATGGTACATACTATATGATTCCAACTATATGACATTCTAGAAAAGACAAAACTATAGAGACAGTAAAAAGGTCAGTGGTTGTCAGGGGTTAGAGGGGCAGAGGAGAGGAGAGATGAACAGGCGGAGCACGGGGGATGTTTAGGGCATGAAACTATTCTGTATGATACTGCAATGGTGCATGGAATTATGCGCATTTGCCAAAACCTCAAACACTGTATAACACAAAGAATGAGCTCTAATGTAGACCATAGACTTTAGCTAATAATAACATATCAATATTGGTTCATAATTGTGACAAATGTACCACACCAATGCAAGATGTGAATAATAAAAGAACCTGTGAGGGTGGTGGTGGTGGTGGATGGAGTATGCATGCACGTGTGTGTGTGTGTGTGTGTGTGTGTGTGTATGAACTTTTTGTGCTTTATGCTCAATTTTTCTATTAACCTAAAACTGCTCTAAAAAGTATTATTAAAGTACTATTAAAAAAATCTTACAGCAGTTTGAAGAGGAAAAAGACTGGTTAACCTGAATGAAGAGAGAAGTGCTTCCATATTGTAGAATGATGTGAATTACTATCGTCTCACACATGGTAGTTTATTATGGCATATTTTTAATTGAAATAATATGTGTATAATAAAACACTAGGAGATTAGTGTAGAATTATCCTTATCTCAGCACTGGAGGGGACCTTAGAGATGAATAAACAGGTTTAGATAAACTTAGAAATTAACCAATCGTGACTATCAAACACTCCAAATTTGTCTGAGAAGGGAAAACTGTTCTTGGTTTCTACTGGGGCAAAGGGAATGTGTTCAAGTAGGTGTTGTGGAAAAAAAACATTTTCCAGTCACTAAGAATGCAATAAGAACTCTCCTGAAATATTTATCTATGTTAACACATTGGAACGTACCCCAAATTACTACATATGTCTGTACCTAAGTGGTTTCATTTAACCAGTGCTAATCTTACAGACTCTCTGAGGGTTCCTAAAGCAATTTCTTTATCAACATAAATGATCCACCTTTTCAGCTATTTTAAAACTCAGGACAATTAATGTTCCATGGGCTCATGAGGGAGGTGGTACAGCCTGGGGTTCGGAGTGTGGGTGGTGCAATTAGACTGCCTGGGTTAAAATCCTGGTTCCACCACTTGCTGGCTTAGGCAAGTCACTTAACTTCCCTTGGCCGCTGTTTTCTCATATGCAGAGTGGGACAACAGCAATACTAACCTCATGAGTAAATGCATTAATGCACATAGTTCACTTGTGCAGCCTGGCACACAGCTTTCAAATGTTACCTGTTATTAATTCTAACGAACTGATTTTAGGAGACCATGACTGTACGTCATTTTTGGGATCATCTATGATGATTCTTAAGGTTGACGGCCATGTGAAGATACCTCTATGGCGATACTTCTGCTACTCTGGGATAATTAAATGTTCGCACGTTGGTCTCCTCCACTGGATGGTGAACTTGGTGAGAGCAGAAGCTAAATCGTGGTCATCTTTGTTAACAAAGTCCATTTAAGAAAGTATTTCTCAGAATAAGAAACCACATTGATTTACTTATTACCAGGAAAGAAATTTTAATTTCAGCTAAAATGTGTACCGTTGAATTGAAAATTTCTTTTTATTTAAATTAAAAGAGAAAACCAGGTAAAGCTTTAATCTACAATACTTTGGCCAAATAATATTACCTATCAACTTTTAAAATCATCTGTGTCCTAAAGTGTTTCCCCTGGGGAGACTTGACTGTACTGGGATATCTGGCTGAAATGCCACCATGTTGAAAACAGAGAAAACAGCAACTTCAGCTTCCAACTGAAAATTAACTGCAAGTTGAGATCCACACCATTTTTAGCTGGTGAGAGTTCTAATTCACAACACAATGGTCCCAGGTAACAGATCAAACCTGCGCTTCTGGTTTTGAAAGGCTCTGGCGAATCCAGTGAGTGCAACTTTAGCTCCTGTATCAAAGACTGATATTTATTTACTCAAGATGGGAAATAAGGGTTTGTGATGCTGGAAGAAGCAATAAAGTTCCTATTTTCATGTAAACTACCCAAAATAAAAAGCAAGGGCAGCAAACCAGAAAAATGCCCCAAAGAACAGAAGAATGACTTCTAAACAGACGGCCTTTTCTGTTTCATTTTAAGCAACAGACAAATATTTAACTAAATTATTCTCTACTGAGACTATCAAAATGGCTTTACTCTTGCTATCAGAATGGAATTTCAGATCCACTTAATTTCAAGAAATTGACTGAAATTCAAATCACAAATCTGGTGTATTTTAAATGGTGCTATGCGCTCTGTGCACTATTTCTGCTGATTACAGCATTGAAGTAGCTGGACTCAGATAATTGAGTGAAAGTATTAAATCAGAGATGCCAAATTAATTTCTTAGACATGTTCATGAATAGCTCGAAAATTATTATGAGGCTTGATGATTGAAAAACTTTCCCATTTTCTTATTGTTCATTGGTGACATAATTTAGATCAGATATATATTTAGAATACAAGATCCCCAGAATTATAAAACCAGGAAGAACCCTAAAGGGCATCTAGTCCAATGTTCTCATTTTCTAAGCAAGAAAACCAGGCCCAGGAAAAGCAGGGAATGTAGTAGTTAAATGTTTGGGCTCTGGAGTCAGACAGACCTGCGTTCAAGTCCCACATTGGCAAGTCATTCACTGTGTGACCTAGGCAAGTTCCTTAACCTCTCTAAGCCTCAGTTTCTTCATCTGTTGTACTAATCCACAGGTTTGTGGTAAAGATTAAATGAGATAAACATGCAAAGCACTCAGCACAGAAGACTGGCACGTTGTAATGACTCAGTAAATGTTAGCAGTTATTATTATCATGGCTACAAAGTGACTCGTAAGGCAAGTAAGCAGCAACAGAACTAGAACTTGGAGTTCCTGACCCATATCAGAGCTTTTTTTATCTAACCATACTCCCTGGGATAAAGATTCATTGCTCTGACAATTTAAGTATAACTCTACATCCAATAGAAAGATAACTGCATCAATCTCTCCGCTATTGAATTGATCAAAATATTAAATGGGCGACCACCTACTCAATTTCATGAAGATTCACACATATTTAGCTTTCCATGAGCAATGGATATTACATGTTTCCCTCCATAACTGTTTTAGTTCAATTCTGTTTTTAAATATTTCCCACCAAAAGCTGCTCATATAAAATAACTGACAAGGTATATTGGCCACAAATAAAAATTAGGGTTCACTCGCTAATGATCTTAAATTTGACTCTGGTTAGTTGCTCTATGGAATAAGTAGGATATTCTCAATTTGTACTGTCAGTCAGATATTGCCATATCCTCTCTACGTCTGTCATGGAGAATGCAAGAATAAGAAATACAGGAAAGAAAAAGCTAAAGTGGGTCTGCAGTATGAGTGAGATTTGGTTTGGCTAATATAGACCCCCAGGGATCCAGCAGCCACCAATCACAGGCATTCAGAATTGCCATTTTTGTCAACATTGACTGTCCTTATAGGATTCAACTTAGAGTTGAATGTTTTTCTTATACTAAAAAAATGAATAATTAAGAAGCCTCGTAAAGAATACTAGCTTTATATAATAGGCTTTCAATACTGCTGCATTTGATAATTTTTAGTTAATTGGAGTTATTTTTTTCAGTAAATATTCTCAGATTGTCAACTAGGTGCTTAAAACATTTTCTTGTAATAAACTAAAGATCAGTTTTCTCATTATCTGGAGAAAGATCAATGTATATACAATTAACTCTAAATCTTTAAAAATAAGAGTAAACGTAATATGGTATAAATATATAAATACATCAAATAGACATTGACTCAAACCACAGTGAGAGAAGCTCATGTATAAACATGAACAAAACTCAAACACCTTTTTATGTAACACCAATGTGATTCAGCAGACCAACAGACGAAGAAAATAGTAATTTGAAAAGCGGCAATTTGTATCCATACCCGGTATTTAGTATTCAGCAACTAGAAATAAAATCGCTTGGCAAACTTACCCGCATTTTTGCACAAGCATCTTGGGTTGATTCTGTCCCCCTGAGCTCTTTTATCAGCATAGAACCTAAATACTAAAATACAAAAAAATTCAATGATTTATGAAAAACAGCATACATATGAGAAGTGATTTAAAAACAAATTGTGTAAGTACTACTAGCTAGGTTTCCTGGCTGTAAGTTGTTGCACAACTTTTAAAAACTAACAGTAACTGATCCTAACAAATAAATGCATTTATGGAGAGAACGCAGCAGAATTAACCACAGTTCTGAAAGCTGGGAATTGCTCTTTATAATAAAACTGCAGCATTTTCTAAAGATGCCATCTTTCAAATCACATTTAACTGCAAAATGGGGGCATCTAAAAATGTTTTTCCTTTTTTTTGAGGCAGCAATGTCTGCAAAAATAAATCACACTACTATCTATGTAATTACAGGGTTGTATGAGACAGCTGAGACGCTGAGCAACATGCCCCCCATTTGGGCTTAGTTGGCTGCCTAGGTAATTAATGTTAGGCTGTTCTTAGGCGGGGATGCAATTCTGGACCTTTTTCATTCACAGCTGCGCGCACTATGGTTGATCCACCTGAGAACGGGATGGGAGCATGTGGGGAGGGAGAATGTCACTCTCAGTGGTTCCATAGCAGAGAGAGCTGAGCCCCTGGTGCAAACTGGAAGGCTGAACGGGGTAGGAGAAGGAGAGTCTCCTCCCAGGAATTACCAAACACTTTTCTGTTAGGTGATCAGATCCAATGCTGCCTTGGTACAAAACACCACCCGCTCAACTTCTGGCTGGGGGCAAATTGTTTTTAGCAAAATGTCGATTTTGCCTTTCATCAACTGACTTCTCCTCAACCTTTTGAAGCTTCAACAGGGCTCCTTCCTTTTATCATTTTCCCCTCTCTAATTTTGTTCAAAACCAAAAAAGCTCTATATGTCTTTTTTAAAAAAGTGAATTAAAATAATTATTTTCCTGACATGACTGAGGAGACCATGGTACTCTGCAAAAACGGGGCTGGGAATCAGTCCTGTAGACCCAGGAGGTGCCGAGTTGAAGAGGACGTGCAAGGACACTACAGCCGAGAGCTTGGTCAACAGCCTCGAGGAAAGAAATGTTCAGAAAGGCTCAGGGATTTGGTGTTTCAGCTTTGGAGGAAGAAGGAGCAATTTCAATCCTACGGTTTTTGGGACATTACTATTGAAATAAATCCAAAGCTTCAAGATAAGTAAACAGTAAAAGAGGTGCAGAGAGCACAAAATGAAAAAAAGCCTAAATTGCTATGAGATAACCAGAATGCCCATATCTTAATCAAATTAAGGAAATGATCTTGGCAAAATCCTTACCTTTTAAGTTATCAGGAAAGTTTGTCCTAATTGAAATGTTTCTTTTTAAGAGGGGCAGTTTCGATGTGTTGCCGAAGGTTCAGTCGCTTTTCCTGCTGTTGTCATGACAACCACCAGTGCCCCTAAACCTATGGTACCTTTTGAACATTGACCTGTTCATATTACAATTGTCAGCTAAGCCTAACTGATTCCCTCTCCTATTAAAAAAAAATATCCAGATATATAATCCTAATAATGACAAGGAAAAGAATCTGATATTTACATAAAGGGGTAGACCCAATGTTCTGAGATCATTGAGTGGAGACATCTACATGCTGTACATTTTTACTCATTTCCATTTTAAGATTGTGCTTTATCACATATCATTTAAGATATACAGCTATATAAGAAGAAGGCAAAACAAACCTTAAGCTTACAGGATTAAAAAGTTTGTAAATTTGGACTTTCTCTGTGGATAGAAGGCTACTTTAAGAAAAAGAGAAGGGGAGAACATTTTAGGAATTTCAACGATGGACATTTTGGTATATTTTCAATACAAAAGTAAACAAGTCAGAAATATATCCTCTATCCCCACTGGTACCCGAATACTGAATTCAAGGTAACTTACAAAAGCTTTGTAATCACAAGACTGGAAGATGAGCTTTTCTGGGTGGTGCTGCCAGTACTGTACTGGAGTTGAGGCTGTGGCTTCATTTGGAGGTCGCAAAGTAATGGAAGGTTCTCCCCAGTCTCCTGTCTGAAAATCACATTTATTCTAGAGGTAATACGAGCAGTAGGCAAAGTTCATTTCCTATAGCTAGCCTGAGTTCCATTCATACATGTGTGCTGTAAGTGTGCAAATGTGTTTGGGTGTATTATACATATATAAATACTTTTATTGTTTATTACTGTTTTATATTCCTCAAAGCTGAGTTAATTTTTGAGATGTGAAAGAAGTTCAATTATTCTATTTATAGAATGACACGCTAAGCTAAGTAATTTTAAAATAAAATATGAAGATATTCCTAAGTGATTTACTAATTTATAATTTTCTGTTACACCAGAAAAGAACATAAATCTTTGAAAGACTTTTCTGTTTTTATCTTGACTGTTTGAAATTTTTAGTTTGAACTGCTTTTATGTTCAGAATACACAGTTCCATAAATTTCAGTTCCCAAATATGACATGTACCATGTACTTTGAATAAATTTATATCTCTGGAGAAAGGTATTGCGTGATACTAAACAAATTTTAGAAGAAAAATATAGTAATGGATGACAATAAGTTTCTCTCATCTGAATTCATTTGTATTGATATGATGCCACTGTGATTGTCTTGGATGTCTTCAGTTACCTTCCTCAGAAAACCTAAAGCACAAATGAAGATTAACCATTTAAATACCAAGTTTGGTCATATGTGCATATGCCTGTGTTTGAGCATCCTGATTCACAGATACAAGCACACTCACATATGATGGTATATCATATAATACATATGCCCACTACGACAGACCTAAGACAGAAGGACATCCCATCATCTTATTTATCATTTTCCATGAGGTTAAGCCTTGACCTGTTTTATTACTGCAACAGTTTAGTGCGAGCATCTATAGAGTCAAAGGCATGTGTTGGCAGGTCTTTTATGGGCTCTAGTCTGACTTAGTTATTACACATGAGAGATTTCTCACTCTTTTCCTTGGTAAAGATCCTGATATTTTGAAATTCAGTTCTTTGTTCTAAATTGGACATAACTAAAACTAGACAATAGGCAGATTTCCAAAGCCATTCTCTTTTAACCTGGATTTGGTTAGTCTTACAGAATTACTAGAAATTACCTTTCTTGAGAGTTGGAAGACTATAAAAAAGGTCTCATGAGCTCTAAAACCAAACAAAACCTTGGCTAGAGATCAAGTTCCACAGAAGGACTAGGAAGAGGCTTGATACTGTAGGATTTCTTAAGAAGAATTTTAAAGGAGTCTAGGATAAGAATGCAAAATTTTGGATGTAGGTATATGTTTGGGATCAAAAAGAAAGTCCATAGCTTTCATTAAATTCTTTGAAAGGATTTAGAAACCCTAAAAGGTTAAGAACCACAGTTCTCCAGGAACAGCTTAACTAGGATGTGTGTTTTGGGGAAGTGGACCAGCATTCCAATTTTCTCTGTGCAGTCTGAATTTACATTGGGTGGGATATGAGGTGGCTGCCAATGCTAGAAAGTGTTAGGCATAGGCTTTGCCTTCTGGACACTTCTAACTGGCTTTTTTAAAAAAGGAAAATTCTAGAGCCCCTCAGGAATGCACAGGCCTTTTCATAGAGGCAGAGAGGCTGAAGCTTTTCTCCTTGAGACGGATTACTCCCAATCACAGGAAGAACAAAGTTAGCATCATGCTATTTCCTTGCTTCTCACTGGAGTGTGTGAGCAGTCAGAACGCCTCTAGCTCCTCTCTCGCGCTCTATTCTGAGCTACCCTGTGTGTTAGTTTTTTCTAGCCGCTGATTTACTTGCATATAGCTTGGTTCTCCTATCCTCTGTCTATTGATAGTTAAGACTTTACTTGAAATATTTAGCATTTTTAGACAAAAATGCTATGTTTTATGACCCATCTCTGACTCATTCTTGACTTTCCTCTTTTTATTTACATGAATTTTTATTTTGTAAAAGCAATAAGTGACTGCAATTAATTTTAGGATTAAGTTTTCCTCTGACTTCCTATTTTGTTTTTTTCTTTTCCTTCTCTCTCAAATGCCTGGATCTTTATCATCTCTCCAGTATTTATTTCAACTGGCTGTTATTTGCTCTTAAAATAAAAAAACAACTAGTATAAAATTCAAAATGTAGGCTATGTGGATTTCAATATTATTTTGAAGCTGAGTATAATAACTTTTAAATGATAATAGTTAAAACTCTGGAAGCATGCAGCTGTGAGTTCTTAATCAAAAGCTCTTCCCAAATCTAGAAAATCATCCTCTAATCTCCATTTACGTTCTCCCCCATTCTCCCCCCTCCCTCCATAAAGCAATAACAACATAGCAAACAGGTGTTGTACATTTAAGTCACAGGTAACATCGTTAACAGAACAACAGAAGTTTGCACGCAACTCCGAGTAATGATACAAAAGGAGGAGCTGGTTGACATCAAAAGATCCTTCGAGCCAGTGTCTGCTCACGTGACAACTCAAACCAAGCATCAGCTCTTCATGTTGGCCCTGTCATAGTTTAGATGAGGTATGCACTGGGCAAGCTCAACAGGCAGTTTTCAAAAAAGCCTGAACAGACACGGCAGGAGGTGGGGGTACCATGTGTTGCAGGGCAAAGGCTGGGAAGAGGGCTAGGGGAGGGGATGGGTGGGGCGAAGCTGGGGTTATGGGGACAAATCAGGTGTTAGTACATTAAGCATGCAAATAATATGCAAACTCATTCTCTAATTGTTGAATTAACTCAGGCATTTTTATAATTAAACTTCAATGTGAGTTTCATACACTTAAAGCAGAGCTACAGCCAAATGCTGATCCAAATATTTACACCATCCACACGAGTCTTAGCAGCCATTTCGGGAATAACAAGCCCCAGCACATACCACCTCAGTCTGGAAATCACCCCAACCTCTGATTTGATAACCACGTGAAGACATTCATGGCGCATCCATTTAACTCTGTTTAGGCAGCGCCATCATCTGCTCTCCTATGACTCCACTTTGTCCAGGAGTCACAAACCACCTGCTTTGAATCGAGAGTGATCTGACAGGGCCTCCCTTACGTGCTATGAGGGGAGATAATTACAGGGAAGAGAAATATAATCCTTACTTTATTTTCTTTGTGGCCTTGAAACATTGCTCCAGTCCAAATATTTTTTAATTCCTTACAGGGACTGAATCTACCTTTCTGGAAATAGAAACTGAGTTTTGTCATACTTAGTGCTATTTCCAGACATTCATTTTCCAACAGAGGGAAAAGTGTTCTTAAGACTGAATTTATAAGAAAAATTTATTTTTTCTTATTCATCATCTCATTTTTTTACCATTAGATCTAAGAATATTTAGAAGACTCAGCTTGTAGGTGTTGATTTTTCTCTTTGGAATTAACTTAATGGGAATGGATGGACTTGGCATTATGCTACTGTAAAGGGCAGATATGGCCCTGGCCCAGGATTCAGCTTTACCTGGTCACCCGACAATAAAAATGAAAGACTTCAGAGAACAAGAGTGCCTTAGGTCTCAGCCCTCCTGGAGGCTGAGTTACAGCAGGAAGGAGCTATGGAGGGGCGAGGTAGAGGAGTGACTATATGGAGTTGCAGAAGAGGCCGAAAAGCAAATAAGGGTTTTTGCCTCACATATAAAATAATTTCAAACCGTGAAGCCAAGTGTTAGGTCTTGTTAAATAGTGACATTCATAAATAGATAATACCTGTATTTCTTCAAGTAAATTTTAAAAATTAATAATGTCCCAGTTTAAAAAATGCTCATTAAATATTAAATAAAAATCAAACAGACCTAGAAACTCTTTTGCCACAAATAACGGTTTGAATCAAAGCTTATCTTTTTTTTTTTTTTTTTTTAAAGATTTTATTTATTTTATTTTTCCCCCCAAAGCCCCAGTGGATAGTTGTGTGTAGTAGCTGCACATCCTTCTAGTTGTTGTATGTGGGACTCGGCCTCAGGATGAACGGAGAAGTGGTGCCTCGATGCGCACCCGGGATCCGAACCCGGGCCGCCAGCATTGCAGCGCGCGCACTTAACCACCAAGCCACAGGGCCGGCCCAAAGCTTATCTTTAATGAAAAGTAGATCTAAACATGGGTAACAGTGACGCAATAAGATTTAATTAGAATAACAAAATAGGAGAAGTTTGGGGTAAAATTCTGTCATATTTTAAACTATTACTGACTGGCATACTCTTTAAAAGGCTTAAATAATTACAGAAGAGAAATTAAAATGATTCAAGGCACTCTTACTAAATGTATTCAGGTTATTTCTTTATTCTCTATTCTTAAAATACTTCAAGAAAACCTTTCTTTTAGGTTTATGTATTGAAGGATCTTAATATTACAAGAATTTGAACATGGCTTAAAACCTTGTTTACTTTGTCTGTATTTCCTTTAGGATATATCATTTAAACAGAGAAAAACGTACATCTTGACCCCCTCAAACTCAAATAAAAATTAACCTTCTAATATAAAGGAAAAACATCATTTGAGATCAGAGTTTTAAACAAAGAACTGCTTCTGTTTAACGGGTATTCCAACGCCAACTAGAAATTCATAGCCTGGCTGAGTTTGAAGGACTATAATTGGGTCATACCTAACACAATGTAATTAAATTAAATGTCTCATAGCACCGACTGGAAAGTATAAAACCACTAACTGAATTTAGTTATAATACACACAAAAAATTCACAAAAGTCTATAGATAGATTTTTATTGATGGCAGATTCCAAAATGCAGCTTTTACACTTTGCATTATTTCAAAAGGTGGTAAAACTACGTGGTTTTAGTTCATATGCACCAGATTCCTAAGGCAAATTCTAAAACATCATACCATATAGCTATCTGCCAAAAAAAGGGAAACTGAAGATATCACATGTTTTATCTGCCCTGAGAATACAAAGGGGAAACATTGTCTATATTCCTATTTTCTTCTTGAGAAAAAAGTTTCCTAAGGATGTCAGTAACTAATTAAAAGCCATGATTATGACTTAGCTTTCTAACATGAACAGAAAGGTACAGTACTTTCCAAGTCTTGTATTATTCTTTCAAAAATTTTTTAAAATTAGGATTTAATTGTTTTTTTAATAGAAGCTTTTAAGTCTTTTCTACTGAGAACTGCTCCCACCTACCTGCTTGTAAATTTAGATATGAATATTAACAAACATTATTCTTTACTTCTTCAGAACACTTAATGAAAAACTAAAATGATTTTAAATGATTTTAAATTGTTATTTTAAGGTTTCACTTTCAATAATTCTGACAAATGCCAGAGATGGGTTACCCAAACATCCATAAGATATATGTGATTGCATTTACGTTCCATTATCTCTAAGGCTTTGGAGAATGCTACAGACAGCTCCATGCTTATAAATATGCATACATGTATGTGGAGGTACGAAAGCAGGATGCTGCAGAAGTTCTTTTAAAATAGCTTATAGAATAAAGAAGGCTAGTTTGGTCAAATGCAGTTGGTTACACTGAATTTGTTCCTTTTGATGATAAAGAGCAGAGATGGACACTTCTGAACACGAAAAAGCACTGGTCAACATTTATGGGTTCGGGAGGAACTGCTGGGTCACTGGAGCACCAGTACCAGGCAACGTATAGACCCCACGGTCCCCAAGAGCCAGAAGTCCCATGCACAGGAGGAGGGGTGTGCCTGATGCGGCACCCCAAAAGAGGCCTTCGCATGCCACCCCAAGAGCTCTGTTAGCGATTCTCAACCAAATGTCTCAACCTCCCGGACAGCAGGCTATCCAACGGGAAAAATTGAACAGGAGGTGAAAATAGGATTGTATTTTAAAATACAAAACGGGAAAAAACCAAATATGAAAATGTCTACTTTCCAAACCAAAATGATTTTTTTTAAAGTACACAAAGGTAAAAGGTGAACATTTGAATATTAAGCAGCTCAGAGTAAAATGGGTCACGATTTGTACTGTCAGATGGAAAAAGGCTGAGAACCACTAGCTGTAATAGTGCCTCTCCTGGCTACACTCCTCCCACATTCGCATAAAATTTATACAGAATATCATGCAAATCATACTCAAATATTTCTCGCAAGTGAAGCGCACAAACCTGTGAAAATTGTTAGACACAGTGGGTTGAATAGCCCATGAACATGAGGAAGTACAAAACGGGGCAGAAAAACACTGATATATACATGTATATATATACATGTATATATATCAATTTACCCTTTTCCTTTTTCCTGTAAAAGCAAGTTCACACAGACACCTGGGATGAAAGCCAAAACTCACGTGGGACAGATTTTAACTATAGACTTGAAAACCAAATATGTTTCTCATTTTAGGACAATGTTTGCACGTCAACTCGTCACAAGGCACAGGGAATGAAGTATAGTAGACAAAATCTCAGGAGTCATTAGACGTCACAAATTTTCTGCATTGCCAGGACATAGTCCCTATAGCTATTGACAACACTTTGCAACACAGTACATAGCGCAAGTTCAGGAAGAGAAAATAACCATTTGTAACCTTACATTATGAACCTGATGGATGGCTGAGAAAGGAAATCCAGCGTTCTGATTCGTCCATATCTCACAGACAGACGACTGCTGATATAAACAGAAAACTATCTCATCTTGTCAATATTTAAAACATGGCAGCTACCAAGGTAGCATCAAGGAAGGGAAAGAGGAAAATAATAAAAAGCAAAGAATCATATGTCTTAAAAAAAAGAAAAACAACTCAAAATGGTTTAGGGTGCCCAAGGTTTAATCATTGACTTCCAAGTCATTCTTTTGCTTAAAAACATTTTGGGCTGGCTGGAAAAAAAAGACCATTTATGCATTAGTTTTATATCAAGGAAAATTACCGATACATTTACATCTCGGAAAAAGCAAAATGCATTTTACATTTGCCAAAGAGATTGGAAATACCTTCCCTCTTCACATCATTCATTTCAGGGGGTAAATATTTTCATGAAGTTCAAGAAAGATGGGAAAAAGCCTTTAACACAGGTCAAACATTTTTATTTTCTCATCTTCAAATGACAAAGAGCAATCAATGAAATAAAATGACTTTCCTGATTTAGCCATTGCTCCATTTGATAAACCTAGAGGATATTTTTCCCTCCAGAGTTCTCAAGGGCAAAACTGTGGTTAACAAAAGGAGACGTGTCAGTTTGCCACCCAGCAGTGGGAGTGTGTGGTGGCGCAGGTGGCAGGCAGGAGGCTGGAGCAGGGAGGGGCTGGGATGGGAAAGCTGAGTTCCGCTACTCAAGCAGAAACTTTGGGGAACAGTATTTGTGAGCCTAATGAATCAGCTCCATAATTCGGACTGTCCACCACACCTTTAACAATCTAATAACTAACAACTATTAAAAGGCAATAATGTTTGCTTGGAACCAAATGCCAGACTAACCAACACCCCCTCCCAGGAGTTATAGCAGAAACCACCAAATAAACCAACTAGGCTCCTGGCTTGACCTTTTCCGAGTTCTTTTCCTGAATTCCATCATTCTAAAAGACACCGTGAAATCGAATCACAGAAAATGGCAGAGCGACTGAAGTTATTCAGCAAGACCATCGCCAGAATTCACAAGCAGGCTGTACAAAGATCAGTGCAGGAAGGAGATAAGGACATAGCCACAAGATGGTTTAGAAACCCAGCAAAAACAATATCATCAGCAAACGAATTATGGAAAAGAAAGCTTATTCCTGGCTAAATGATTCCCCTACCTTCACCCTCCCAGAAACGCTCACCAGAAATTTAACATCTCCCTCTCCAGTTGGCATCTCCACACACATCTATATCTTTGCTTTCCATCACTTCTGTCATCTGGATGGCTTGCTTGGGACAGACTGTCAGGTAACTGGCATTCTGTTAAGGAGGTAAGATCCCCAGGGTCTGACCAAAAGGCGCCTCCAACCACCTCCCACTTAAACCAGCCCTGCTATTCTTAGTTCCTTCTCGAAACTTCATGCTATTTTCTCCACAGGGGCATCTTCCTCTCCTTACCTTACAAAAATTAATTCTCTAGCAAGTTTTTAGGCCCATTAAACCCTGAGCCTCGTCTACGACGGTGGTCATCTGATTTAAATATGATAACTCCATGCTTTAGCGGGATTACCATCTCAACGGGCACAAAACATACTTCTAGGATACCCTTGACCTTTTCAGCACTTGCATTCACAATTCTGAGCTAATTCTCTTACATAAATCACATCCTCTACAATGTTCACAGACTTTTAGTGCTAGAAGTAACCCAGGGACCACCTGTTATCTGACAAAGACACTGACATTCAGAGAGGTTAGGTGGCTTGCCCAGGTCACATGGGGGGAATGTCACAACATGTCAGCCTGCCAGGATAACTAGCAAGGAGTGCCAGCCGGTACTGACTTCACCAGAAGACAGAGGGACTCGCCACTTCTTTGGAACTTGTTTTACTGATCCTGAAACAATTATACATAAATGGAACCAGTTCATGGAATAGTCTCAACTCCACATGGGTTCAAATACCTGAAAGTTTTACTGTTTTCCAATCATTACACCAAATGGGCCAGGCCCAGTCTCCCTTCCCTGGTGGGCACCAGGCCATTTGACATTTTGGGCAGACTGTATAACTTCCTGGCCACTTTGAGTCACTAAAAATCCATTTTGCATAAAACTCCAATATCATATCTGATTCAAACTTTGCCCTGCCTCACCACAGGCCATTCTTGGAGTTTACAAAACCTGAGGTGGGTAAGAGAGGCTTGATCCGCACTTTGTCCCCTCCTCTGCTCTTCCCCTAGAAGTAGGGAAGGGTGGGGTGGTACAGTCAATCTTGAATGCCCCCCCCACCACGTTCTACCTCCTTCATGCCCTTTGTTGGGGAGAAGGGCACAGGAGAAGGACAAGGGCCTCCTCCTTATCTGGCTGTGGCTGAATTCTCTCTGATGGTTGTCACTGCTTCTCAGGGTAACACTAACTTGGCCTCCAATGCCCTCTTGTGAGCATGTGCCCCAGTCCGGGTTCTACTGTGAACCCGTCTGAGTTCTTTGGAGGGCTCTGCTGGGGTATGGGGAGGGGTCCCCACTGCATAGTTCCTGACGTGAGAAATCTGGTTCTAGCCTGACCCCTCCCGTCCCCACTTAGCCCTCCTAGCACACATGCATGTCCCTTGGGTGGGACGCAGGGAAAAGGGTACAAGCCCAGCCTCCCTCTGCACGCCCACCTGCTTCACACATATACATCCTTATCACTCACACAGGGCAGGCTGCTCTGGGACCACTCCCCCTCTTTGCCATGACATCTCCCTCTAGTTCTCTTTTCTTCAGTTCAGGTTGGTGCTACATGCATCTGCCTGCCAGAAGTCCACCTGTGGAAAGAGATGCCAATTTCCCCTTCTGGCAGCCTCCCTCACCCTGGATGAGCATTCCTCTTGGAGCCCTTCTCACTAGGCTTCGTGTGTGAGGGGATGCGCTCTCTTCTCTCCCGTGGAAAGGGAGGAAAAGTCTCAGCTCTTTTCACAGCAGCTCAGACAATTCTCTGCCCTTCCCTAGCATCAATCTTCTGCCTACATGGACAGCTAGCTGACTGTGGCAGAGCAGGGTTCACCACCTCTTGGTAAACCTTGAACAGGGTGTCTAGCTCCATTATTGGCAGCTTTTCCTTTAGAATGTGTGGTACTTAATACCTACGGGTAATTTCCCACTTAGCATCCTGTTACATGAATATATCTTCCAACAGTCACAGAAAGTTACTGGAGAGTTAAGGAGGGAAGAGAGGGTCTCATGCCATACTTATTTTATTTTAAAAAATCCATATAAAATTTTTCTCAATGAAGGAAAAACCTCACCTCTAGTCATATATGCTGAAGATAGTCCATATGTGGCTTATACAGTCATGTGCTGCAAAATGACATTTCAGTCAATGACAGACCCCATATATGACAGTGGTGTCATAAGATTAGAACCATATAGCCTAGGTATGTAGTAGGCTATACCATCTAGGTTTGTCTAAGTACGTTCTTTGATGTTTGCACAATGACAAAATTGCCTAATGATGCATTTCTCAGAACATGTCCCCATCGTTAAACAATGCATGACTGCATACATTTTAAAGAAGTCACAATAACTATTTTTCATCTATAAGCTATGTTTTAAACTTAGAAAAAGTAAAATCTCTATGATTTCCAATAATTACGTGACTCAATGCAAATGGTAAAAACTCAGATTTTTAAAACAGAATTTAAAATAAAGGCAGTTAATTGTGTTTTAGTTATGAAGGGTGTTAAGGAAAAAGCTGATACATTTCAGATAGCACACTCATTCTGTTGGGAGTAAATAATTGATCAGGCTCACAGGGCAGTAACTTAAGCTGCTTAAGGGCAGCTGTGACTGGTGACTTCATGTATAAAATGGCTCTTCTTCCAGACACATGTGTTAGACTGAGGGCTGGAATGAACTTTTTAAATGCAAAAGAGTTTCCACTGCAGAATTTCATTACATTTGTGAAGATAATATTTCAGGGCACAACATTATTGAAGTACTGGGTTTTGAAAAGTTTTGAGAAAGAAAATACCAGCGATAAAATTTCATCTGGGGCCCAAATTGCTAGAACAGTAGAGATTTAAATCTGAGTTTTAATTAAGCTTTAGAATGTCTTCATCTGTAAAGAATGATGATCGTACTTGATTACTTATTTCACCAGCTTGTTGTGCAGCTCATGGTAAGCTTCACGGGAGAGGGAACTTGTTCACAGCTAAATTTCTAGGACCTAGAACACAGAAGGCCATCACACATATGTACTGAATGAATGGACTCATAGACTATGTTCAAAATTTCTTGGCAAATGGTAAAGCATTATAAGAACATCACTGTTATTTGTCATCATTTGCAGTTGGTCCACTTTGTTTTGGCTTCTTGTGTCTTTAGTAAACAATGTCACTGCCGACACTTCTGTTAAATGCACTGGAAATTAACCTTGCAGATTCTTGTTAGAAAAGTTCTCATTTTTCCTGATAAAGGCTGAAAAAGAGCTGCCAACTTTGTGGAAGAGAGAAGGAACATTTGTAATTATCACATCTTTACGTTAAAGGGCTGCTTGTAGAGAGCTTGGAAACAATTCTCTAAAAGGATGTTAAACACCCCTTTGCAATTTCATTTGCTTATTATTTTTTTCTCAATCCCTTTTCCACATATACTGCAAAGGCTAATTTAGTTTATCCAAACTCAAATTACCACGAAATCCAAGTAAATGGGGGTTAAGTAAAGATACAGTAGTCTTATAACTGAGATATAATCAATAATTTAATGTTTATTTCTTTGATGATGAAGTCAACACACAGTTGAAGATGTATAATTTTATCTTTATTTCAGACCTCTCTCCCGACTCTGGAAGTGTTTTCTTAAACTACAACCCACATCTCCCTCTTGTTATCATCATGGATCTCGGGTTACCATGAATTCTGTTCAGAAAAGACAACACATTTGCATTCAAATCTAATAACAAAATCAAAAGCATATTACTTATCTTCAAAGTTTTCCTCCTAAAGGTAGACTTCTTTTCTGCTCAATTGGTAGCAATCCAGTGGTTTACAATAACTTATCTCTCCGTCATCATCTG